AGTTGCAATACCCTCACAGAATGGGGAATTAATTTACTGCTTGGAGTGTGCAAACATTAGCACTATTCCAATTTGCTGAAGTTGCCAAATAATTCAGAGTTTGAGGAGAACAAATCCCAGCGGAAGAGTACTAGCACCCATCTCTTAATATTTTGCATCCAACTAACCTACTCCTCAAAAAGCTTTCCAAATTCACCACTCTTACTTTGTTTCTCCACTACTCCTCACAGCCTTGGGAAAACAGTCATTGTGGGAGGCAAAAAAACCCAAGCCAAACTGAAACCTCTGAACTGCAGGAAAGAGGTCAGTCCCAACCAACCTGAAATAAATGAGCTCATAATACCAGGACACCAAGCAAACAATATTTAGTTCAGTGAGCAACTCTTTCATTCTAATGAGATACAAAATAAATCCAGGTGCTCCCTGGTTTTGCAAAGTTTCCAGCAGTTGTGGAAAGTAATTCATCCCTGACTGCACAGACTTGGTAGCTGAAGTCCCCATGATACACCATTAAGACCAGCCTTTAATGACTCAGATCTCTCTAGGTCACTCCCTGAGCTCTACAACCAACTTGCACCAGAACTCCATCTGCAGATGAGTCAACACGTTCTTACTCCCACCTTTTTGATTTACCAGTAACTCACCCAGGTGATTGCATTTTCCACCTCGATGAGCTAGATAAACTAAAGAAATTCTGCTATCTGCTTTCTTTATTTGGAACTGCCAGGTTGCTTATTAAACCACTATAAACAGCTGCAAACTTCAGACACTTAAAAGCACTATTTGGATAACTAAAACCTGCTTGAAACAATTCAACCTCAGAGATTGCCCACACTTGTTTACTGAACATCTCCTCCCTTTTCCCCCCACTCATTATCAAGTCTGCCCAATCAATTCTCCTATTTCTATTCCCTTCAGACCCTTTCCCTTTTGGTTATGTGAGACAGAAACTTTCCAGGGTGGCATTTTGTAGAGTTTTCTCAGGTACAGCAGAGAGTTGAGCTCCAAGATCATGCATCTTCTCTTTCAGTGTGGTCATCACTGCACTGCATGCAAGAATGGAGTCTGCACACGAGAACAAGATAAGGCGTATCCAGGCCAAGCTACATTAGTTATTCCCTCATCATCCATACCAATCACTTATAGTGGAAATAATGCCCCCCTTAAAATTCCCTCCAGTATTCCCCACTTGTCACTCAGCAAAGGAAAAGGACACCAACAAATCACTAAAAAAATACAGTAATCAAAGACGAAGATTACTTGAATATTTTCCTTGAAAATAAATGTAAGCCTGGGCACTCATTACTTGATTATATCATACAGGTACTGAGTTTAACAGCAAACTCAGATTTAACATTTGAAGTTACGCCTATGCTTGCATAAGACGGAATATGCACGTAAGATGCAAAGCACAGTTTTCCAGAGTATTTTTGTTTTGAAGCAGCAGATGCTGCCACCACAGCCAGGAATGCTGGAACTGATCATGAGCAAAACATCCAAGATCCTGTGCTGCTGCAGCTAATAGAATGCATTTAACATGCTCTGAAATAGAGCACTGTATATATAAAGAGCCCACAGTAAGTGGATATAGACAAGAGGTAACAAATATATTTTAGTTATCATGCAACATGTTTTTAAAACTCATTTTGCATGACTGAGGCTGTGATCTGGAGTGCTGCATATCCTCATTTGTCCTGCAGTCCTAACACCCAAGGAGCCCTATCACCTTACCTTAGCAGCAAGCAGAAGGTCTGGTGTTATGAAACACTCATCTTGAAAAGCAGATTTCAAGAATTAAGGCCCAATTTTGACAAATTAAAAGAGCAAAAGGAAACTTCCATATTACCTTGTTGAGATAAGTAATACCTAGTCCTCTTTACAAACCTCTCTAGGTTTCACATCACTTATCATCAGCGACTGTCCTCAGATGAGGAATTTAAAGGCAAATAGATCGTACTTGTCCACGTTATTTTCTCAAGCTAACCTTTCCTTTAATGACAAACATGCTTCAAAATAAAGAAATCCCACGTGTAAACAGAGTTAAGCCTTATTATGGAGACTTGGAAGGGAGCATGAAACTTAGATGGGCTACGTGCTACCACTGGAAGAATAAAAATACCCATTTAATGAACAAACTGCCCCAAAGACACTCCTATGTCTGCTTCCTGACCCTAAGCAGACGGGGAAAAAAATCACAATAACCTCACGACAATGAGTCCAGAGGCCCAAAGTGCAAGTCAATTATCCTACAAGACAAGACAGTGAGAGAAGAGAATGAGCCCCATCCCTGCACCGTTCAAGGCCAGGCTGGACGGGGCTTGGAGCACCCTGGTCTAATGAAAGGTGTCCCTGCCCGTGGCAGGGGGCTGCAACTGGATGAGCTTTACGGTCCCTTCCACAACCCGACCCGCGCTGCGTTTCTAAGCGCGGAGGGAAGGGCGGACCTGGCTGGGCTTACAGAGCCCAGCGCAATCGCAGCCCGACACCGCCGCCAGCCGACGGGAGCGCGGCCCCGGCCCAGCGGCACGCCGAATTAGTTTTAGTTAATTAATTAATACAACTCGCTATTGCGAACACTGCTGTCCCCGGTAATAAAACTACGCTGTCAATCGCCTTATCAGCTGGCCAGCGTCAGAACCATGGACACATATCCCAGGGGGAGAGAGAGTGCAGGAGCGATCGCTGCTTCCCGGCAGCTCGATCCTGAGACGCGCACACACAACACGCCACGAAACGTGAGTCATCATCGGCGGCTGCGGAGACACCGCACAACTTCCCACGGCCGGGAAAGTCACCTGGAGACGGGAAAACAGCTTCAAACTCACAACGGGAACCCCCAGCAGCAAATTATCCATTAAACCGTGTCAAACACGCCCGGTGCGGCGCAAACCCGGTGAGACAGCACTCCTACGGCCTACAGAAAACCATGGCAATCCAGGAAACGCTACACCCAAGTGCAGAGAGCACGGAACGGGAAGGGGGGAGGGAAAAATCATCACTTATCTCGCTTCAGAATAAGAAACACAGCCCGGGTATGTAAAGCAGTTGTGTGGTTTGGTTTGGTTTAGTTTTGATATGACGTCCGAAAACGTTGGACCAGCGATAAAAGCAAAAATGAAACTCACATTACTGCTTCTTTCAGAGCAGAGGAACAGAAAAAAGAAAGCGTTAACAGCACACACACACCCCAAAAATTTCCGAGTTTCCTTTTATCGGAGCAGGGATAAAACCCGATATAAACGCAGTTTTATTCCTGCTCGTATCCGATAACGCAGCAGCGCGGAGCCCCGCACCTCCCTGCCATGATGAATCATGGTCGCTCCCGCACCGAACGTCCCCGCAGCCTCACCTTGAAGTTGCTGGAGTTGACCCATGTGGTCAGTTCGTCGATCACCTTGTCCAAGCGCTGCAGGTCCTGCTCCACCTCGGCGCAGCGCGCCGGGTCGTTCAGGTACTCCAGCAGCTCCTGCCCGACCTGCATCCTGCGGGCCACGTCCTTCTGCTGTACCTGCTCGCAGAAGTACTCCAGACCGCCCGGATCCATCCTCGCCCGACACGGGAAAAGTTTCTTCGCAGACGAGAGGAGCCGCCCGCCGTCAGCGCCGGGAGCTGGGCCCGGGCAGGGCGGGGAGGGGACGGGACGCGCCCGGCGGTGCCGGCAGGGCCGCTGCCCTCACGGGGCCTCCCCTCGCCCGCTGCGCCCCGGCCCCGCGCCCGCCGCCCCCATGCGCCGCCGCCAGGGGCCCGAGCGGCTCCCGCCGGCCTCCGCCCGCGGCGGGAAGCTGAGGTGAGGAGCGGTGGGCGGGAACGGCCGCCTCAGGCGAGGGGCTTTCCAGCCGCCTCCGCGTCGTCCCAGGGGGATCCCGGCAGAGCTCCCGGCCGCCGCCCCACCTCTTCCCCCGCCCGGGAGAAGGAGAATCGGCAGCGATCGTCCGGTCTCGCCCTGCGGGGCGGAGAGGGCTCAGCGGAAGGTGGGCAGCGGCAGGCTGCGGGCTCCCCACGGCGCAGCGATCCCCCCTCACGGCCGCGGGCACCGGCCCGTCCTCCCGCGGGCGCTGCAGCAATGGCGAGGCCGGGGCGGACCGCTCATGCTCCCGACGCCAAGGTCTGCGGCCCCTCCTCCCCCTGCTCGCCCGCGGGGCAGCTTCCAAACTTCGCCGCGGCGGCTCCCGGCTGCGCCCCGCTCCCCCCGTCAGCGCCCACCGCAGGCGGGCCCAGACCCGGCCGCCCCGCGGCACCGCCTCCGTCCCGGGCAAGTAACGCGCCCCCTCCCGCGGGCCGCCCCTGCCGGCGCCTGAAACTCGGGGCGTGGCTCACGGAGGCTCCGCCCCCTCTCCCCGCCTGGCCCCGCCCCCTTTCCTCCCTCCACCCCTCCCTCGACCTGTAGCAGGTGGCGCGTGCGCAGTGCGCCCCCGTCGGGCCAGCGGCGCCTTAAGGGCAGGCGGCGCGGAGGAGGAGGAAGAAGAGGAAGCGTTGAGAAACAGGGCAGGAGGGGAGGAAGGTGGCGTGCCCCAGGCTTGCGCTGGGAAGGGTGCCCGGGGGACCGGCTGAGGGACCGGGGGTGTTCAGTCTGGAGAAGAGAAGGCTCGGGGGGGTCTTACCGCTTCCTACAACTGCCTGACAGGAGGGTGCGGTGAGGTGAGGTCGGTCTCCACTGCCAAGTTACAAGAGGAAGCGGCCTCAAGCTGCGCCGGGGGGGGTTAGATGGAGATGAGGAAAAGTTTCTTCACGGAGAGGGTGGTCAGGCATTGGAACAGGCTGCTCCCAGCAGTGGGGGAGTCACCGTACCTGGAAGTGTTCGAAAACCCGTGTAGATGAGGCCCTCAGTGACATGGGCTCGTGGTGTACCATCCTTCCGTCTCTGACACCAGGGCTCCCATGTAAACAATTCAGGGAGGTTTTTCTCTCATTATTTTCCCCAAACAGAATTAGGTTTTTGCTAATGCAGATTCCTAAACTGCTGCAGTTAAGCAAGTGCCAGATTTGGAGCCAGAAGAGGGTGTATGGGGGAGAGGAGGGTTGGTGGGACCCCTGTCAATGGGAGCCATTATGTCATGGAAGCTTAACTTAGTTCCAAGTTAGCACACTCTGCCTGTTTCTTCCCTCATTAATCCTGACACTGGGGAAGGGTGAGTGTGCGGCAAAATGAGGAGCTCCCTTCATTTGGCTGCAGGAATGAATATACAGGTATAAACTATATGGGTGTAGAGGTATAAACTATATGGATATACAGGTATAAACTATATGGGTGTAGAGGAATAAACTATATGGACATACAGGTATAAACTATATGGGTGTAGAGGAATAAACTATATGGGTGTAGAGGTATAAACTATATGGATATACAGGTATAAACTATATGGATGTACAGGTATAAACTATACGGATATACAGGTATAAACTATATGGATGTACAGATATAAACTATATGGATATACAGGTATAAACTGTATGGGTGTACAGGTTTAATCTATAAAGATATACAGGTATAAACTGACTGAGGAACCATGCCTGCAAACTGCAGCTTCAGAGCAGTGTAAACCAAACTAAACCGGTGTTAGAATGGTCTTGCTTCTCTCAAATCCCATTTTCAGGAATTCTGCCCTTCCATTCTGTTCTGTGTGCTGCTATCTGGGTGAGTCTGCAGAGGGCTGGCTCAGGGGGTTCATCTGACAGAAGAAGAAATCTCTATCCACAGGCATAGCAGAAAGCAGGGCCACAAGCGGCCTTCTGTTGATTTTGGTGTGGTGTGGCAAAGTCAGGATCCCACGCTTGGTTGGTCCCTAGGCATTACAATAATGAAGATGGTTTAAAAGGTTGCTATTAAAAGATTGTTATGGTTTAAAGCAGGAATTTATGTATGGTACTTCAAGCTTATTGTAATTTTACAAAAAGATTATGTTTTCACAATGGATTTTCCTGTGCACATCTAAAGAACCGTCACTTTGGATGGAGCTGAATACTTCTTGTCCTGTGTGTGCAACGGCATTTACTTGGTATGGAATTTTCTTTTATTGAAAATGGCACTCAAGAAACCACTGGAAATTGAAAAATTTATGCTAAAAAGTAAAACTACACTTTTACATTTTTTTTAGTGCAAGTTTAGAAAGTAAACTTCTTGCTATGAAAGTTTTAACAGTGACTTTGATCTAGCAAGATTGGCTAAATACAAGAGAACTGAGTAGATGATACTGGACTCTTGGAGTATCAAGAAATGGTTTCCAAACCACCAAACTTTCTGGAGAAACAAAAACCAAACCAAACAAAAAACCCTCAGTGATTTAAAAAGGACCTTTCATTATAGTCCAAGTTAATGTCAATCTCTTCAGACAGAAAATCCTATGCAAAAAGAGGGGGTTAATCTCATGGTACTGGCTTTTCTCTTGATTCAAAGAGGCAATCTCTTGATTCAGAGATTCATACACTGATGAGGGAAGCTAATTGCTGTGACTAGTGTTGAAGCTGAGGAGAAGGATAAAGTATAAGACACGCACTTGAAATGCTGAAACTATTTTGTCAACCCAGAAACGGCACCACAAAGCTATGTAAAGGGCAAAAAGCCATGCTGGGATATGTGGCTTTTTTTTTTTTTTTCCATGTTTTCTTTTTCTTAGAAAACACACAAGAAAACAACTGTCTCCCTGTAAAATCAGAGGTTTCAGCTACTGCATTTCTTCCTGTTACTACCTGCGGTCCCTAGTGCTTTTACACTGTGTGAACACTGATACAACGCTGCAAAATCTGTAGCCGTTTTTAGCATGAGGTGTTCTGATAAGATCAAGGCATTTTCCTCTGAAACCCTAGCACTGAGAAGAAAAAAGTTTCCTGTGGGATCAGTAAATGTTGGTTGATGTTTTTTCCTCTGCAAACAAACAGCATTTTGATTGGCAAATAAAGCTGCTGGATGCTTGTTTCTTCTAGCAGGGCAGGAGTAGTGCTGTAATGTTGGGTCTAGAGCAGCCCCCAGCTTGGACCAAGATCAGGGTTTGCAGTTAGATGTTCTCACCAAGTCCTAATGGACTCTGTACCTTGGGATGTGGGCTAGGCTCCAGAGAGAAGGCATTTTTGTTCAAAGATCTTTTAAAGCCTCTTATTCTCAGTTAAGGAGATTTCTTCCTTTGGAATGCAATCTTCTTTTTGATATGCAAGCATGTGAGTGTAAATCCACTACTCTTGTGTATTTGTACAATGTGTAATATTTTGTAGAGCAATTAAGCCCTGTAACTGAATGCAGAATGAAGATTTTCTTTGGTCTTTTTGATATGATTTGCTTTCTAGCAACCAGAGGAGTTACAGCAGGAGCTGAGGTACACAGCACTAATCCAGTGAGGCACTTTTCCGACCTGAACTGCACACCAAACCTGTTTCTACACCCCCATCTCATACAAGGGTGCTGCACAACAATTACAGGTAACATCCTGTGCTGAAAAAGGCTAGAATCCTACAGAAAAACAGGCTGGGGAGGGAGAGAGCTGTGCTTGTCCTTCCTTGGGCTGTGTTTGAGGCTCTGTTTCTACCTTCTGTCCTTTCCTAATAGTAGCTTTTACAGGCCTAGACCTTGTGCAACCCACTTACGGATCTTTAGCAGACCTGTCAGTCATTCCAGCAGAAAAGTCACTTCCACAGACAGACTTCCCCTTCTGAAAAGCCCTTCCTGCACAAAAGATGTAATCCTGTCACTGAAAGGACCATAAAAATCCCTTAAATCCCCTCTGATGAAAGCGTCTTTTTATTACAAGTAGCAAGTGCAGACCATAATAATAAAAATAGAGTGAATTTAAACATGAGTCACTTGGAAAGTTCCCATAAACTGCTGTAGCCTAAGCTGACACAAGAAATCTGTGAGAAAGTTGTGCTTGCATTCCTGCTGGATTCCTCAGCAGCCCGGCCGGCACTTTGCATCGTGTTCCACCCAGGAGGCTTGAGGGAAATGCTCAGGCTGCATCTTGGAGGTGGTGTTCTTCAGTCATATATCACCTCCTCTTAATGTGCTCTGCAGTAAGCATAGGCCTTTGTGTGTGTGCAGGTTGGTCATCAGTACGTTGAGGCTTTTCTTAATACTGTCAGGAGGTGAAATCCTGTCATGTTGGGCTAGTTTAAGCAGCACTGTGGCATTTTTGTGTGTGCTGCATAGGTATCTATTTTACATCTTTCCTAACATGCATTGTAGAAGGATGAGGTATATCTTTTCAAGCTGAATTTATCACTGTTGATAACTTTTAAAAATCATTTTAAAACCTCCCTCTGCAATAATTAATAGCAGATGAATGAAATAATACATATTTCTTGAATTCACAATGGAATGTTCCAATAATGATGTTGAAATGCGTGTACCAAGCTAGCTGAAGTATTGCCCTTTTTTCTCACAAGGCCTTAGAGATGCAACTCGATGTAACTATTACAAATGCATTCAGTGAACTCCGCTACAGTTTGGCTTGTGCCGTGGTTGTTCTTGAAATTACACATTTAATCTGGATCGCTTTCATATACTTACTTATAAACCAGAGGTTGAAATCAGTAGCCTGGTATTTTTCTTGTACGTAGTCAATTTGATGACTGAAGAAATTGGCCATGAGGTGGGTCAGGCTGGAGCCCCATTACCAGCGTACTCTAGGGTCTTAATTTGTCCTTTACTGTCAAATGTGTTTTAACATGTAGATACTGCAATTAAATAATTCATCCTGATAAACCTTTTATGATTCATTTGCTAATTTTCTTTATATGTGTGACACAGAGAAGGAAGAACAAATTAAAAACTATGGGTAATGAAAAAAACAGTAATAACAGGTCAGGAAAATAGAATTAATGTGTAAGTGGCCTCTTCCCTTTTATCGCTAGTCTATCCTGTCTGCTGTAATCACTCAAAGCACTGCTACCTAACGTGGTATCCTTTGTGTCATTTTTGTGGCAGAGATGTTTCTCTCTCTCCAGTGCTATACATATTTTAGCTGTGGTTTGTTAGGTCAGTGCTTGCATGGTTTGTGCAGCAGGTTGGTTTGCTAGACCTTGATTAATTATGTTTTCGTATCTTTAAGCGCCCATGGTAGGGTATGGTATGTCAGAGTTCCGTGTAAAACCTTTGCAGAATGTTGCTCTGTAACGATTTTGTGTCTTGCTGGAAAAAATTTGGATGCAACAGCTCAACATAGCAGTCCATCAGTACAAAATGTTCTAAGTTGTTAAACATAGGAAACTGATTAAACTTTTAGTTAAAATACCTATGAGAGCTGTTTTTATATCAATGCTATTACCTTTGTATTGTCACGCTACTGTTTGTTGCAGAAAAAGGATCCAAAATATCTGATTCACTTGTCCTGAAAGATACAAACCGGTGAGCACACTGACGTGTGGCTGGTGAACTTTGCCCTTGGACTGGCAGAATCTCCGTTCCTGCAAAACAAGCCATGGCATTTTCATTATCTGCAAGAATCTTATGAGGCAGGGAATGCACTGGGAACATAAAAACCCTGTAGGAGGGTGTCCTTCACGTGGCACAGAAACAACTCCTCAAACCAGGTGGTGTTGATACCCATCCCATAGCAGTGCAGGCACTGCCCACACTTAAATAGAGCCCACAGCTCCCTTGCTTGGGAATTAGAAGGGAAAGGGGAAAACACATGTGATGTGATCTGTTGGTGCCTTCTTTAACTTGCCTTTTCTCTGTAATGCAAGCCCTGCTATAGACAGGACCAGACCCGGCAGTGCTTTACCAATGGAGTAACTCCTGCATCACCAGGAAGGTTTTTTTCCTAGAAAAAGCAGCTGCAGGGCTCTTCCTCAGGAGAAGAATAAAGTTTTCCTTACTTTCTTATAGTCGAATGCATACCTAAAGGTACAGACATATAGTTTAAAACTCCTTTTTCATAAAGAATTGGGTGTGTTTACATTTTGGGATTAAGCTAAGTGAGTTTTTTTGGCTGTTGCCTTATTTTCGCATGCTTTTCCTCTATGGGCTGAAAAAAACTTAACTCGTTTGGCTGTTTGAGAGCTCCCTCTCGTGGTAAAATTGCCCTGGAACAGGGAAAGTGTTCCGGTCCAAAGGCACGGAGTTGAAACTCCACCTACCTTCTCTGTTACGGATAGAAAGAAGCCAAGCCAGCCGTTAACACAAGCCATACCTTTTCCTTGTCTGCCCCCCCTTTTCACATAGAAGCCTACTGGTTTGGATGCAAATACCAATTGGTGTTTGGGAGGAATTTCTGTAAATGAGTATGCACATGAAAAAATGAAGCGTTCATCTATGTTCTACAAAACCAACAAGTCACAGATGGGTTTAGTTTTTGCCCTGTAAAGAATAAAGTACTGTCCTTGTCTAGAATAGTTCAGAACCTCTGCTGGGGTTGGTGGTGCTGAAGGTGCAGTACAAAGCAGACTGTACTCAGTATGGCCACCACCAGCTCTGACCAAACACTGCTATTATGGGTCCAGCCAACATTCCTTAGAGCAGTGTTATGAATTTGGAGTCCCTGTCTTCCCACTGGGGGAAGAGTCTGGGGAACTATTTCACTATAGACAGATGAAGAGAAATACGTCATTATACAGGCAACAGTGGAATATAACTTATTTTCTACAAAATTTCAAGTAACACGATGCAGCTTTGTGGCAGCAGAAATGAAGTCTTCAATCTGCTTTGAGCTGAGTAACCAACAGTATCTGTGATGCCTCGACCATGAGTCCCCCTCTTTTTATTTTTGATACTGCATGACTCAGAGCAGAAAGATTCTTGTCATCACTGCCAGCATGTACAGACAATAACCAGCCTATTTAGAAGTCATTTCCCATTGGAATAAACATTGCTGCATCCAGGTGTTCTGCACACAGACATATCCCATGCTATGGGTTTTCC